CTATCAGTGCTATTGGCCATGTAAAGTGGTTTCCTCCTCAGGTGATTAATTTTAGACTTCCTTTTTGCCATACTTCCTGTTTATTTATAAAGTTAATCTCTCACAAATGCGTCACTTATCATATTTGGTGCTAGCTTACAAAGATATGTCTATTATTGCTTAGGCAGAAAACAGAATCTCGGCAATGACTTCTAGCCGCAGTGACTGGTGTATATCACGACAAAGGACATGGGGAGTTCCCATTCCAGTTTTTTATCATTTGCAGTCTAGAGAACCCCTTATGAATGAAGAAACTATTGAGCATATCAGATGTAAGGGCCCAAAACATAACAAATTACTGTGTGCTCCTTGCTCAAGAGTATAAACTATCTCAATTGTTAATAGACTACAAGAATTGACCAAGTAAAGTTCATATCTGAGTACATGTACTTCTGGATATCCTCATGTTTCTTAATTCCCAGTGCTCTTCTAAACCATTTGTTGGTCCATTTTAACTGAACAGCCTACATTAATTCATTTTTTTTTTTTTGATCTGGACAGCTATTATAGCCCAAAATGGCAGTGATGCATGGTGGTACATGCCAGTAGAGGATCTTCTTCCAGCCAAGTACCGTGATAAAGCTGCAGAATATGAAAAGGGAACTGACACAATGGATGTGTGGTTTGATTCAGGTGGGTAAATGTTGTGTTTCCTGGTAACTTTACACTAATAATTAGAGTGGGTCCCATGCATTGCATAGAGCTTGAGATAAGCCACATGTTCATGGCTTGTAAGCAGTGTAGCTTCCAAAAACTTTTATAAATATAGATTCATAGTAATTTCCTCAACCCCAAGCTCCAGTTTCCTGTTATGGCCCAGGGACAGCTCGATGATATATTCTAATTTATGACATGTATTGATGAGTGATAACTATTGCACCTGTTTCTTACAATTGGGATATTATTTTGATTTATTCAAAAATTGCATTTTGTTATTCTCATATTACTTTCCAGGACACAATGGCATGACCTAGAACCTCCTACACCTACTCTAGCCTAAACTATTATCAATTCATAAGTTGCTTTCTTATGAATCGGGTGTTTCTTAGCTGTTTACTTTTGACCCCAGGTTCCTCCTGGGCTGCAGTCTTGGGAAAAAGAAGTGGCTTAAGTCTTCCAGCAGACTTGTATCTTGAAGGAACAGATCAGCATAGGGGCTGGTTTCAGAGTTCATTGCTGACAAGTGTAGCTACAAGAGGTATTGTGTCTGAGATATTGCAAATTGCAGGAAGTCTTGTAAGCTAGGAAAATAATTACCCAATTAAGAGGAATTACGACCTTAGGAAAGTATTTTAGGCTAAAGAAAAAGTTATTTGCAGTGTACTCAAAGTAAATTTAATATTTGCCTTTTGTTTATAGTCTTCATATAGATGAGAAGGTTTAAGCTTTAGACGATAATTGGGGCTTTGAATAATATTTGTTGTTTTGCTCCATCCCTTTTTTCTCAGAATTCTGCTGCCCATTTTGTCTTTTAAGCTTTACCCTCCCTTTTCAGTTTCAAATTTGCTATGAATGGTTCAGTTTTCAAAATAATAAACTTTCTCAGTTATACTAAACAACAGTGAGGATTCATAACACGAGCACATGCATAGCGATTTGCTTGCTGGAGTTTATTTTCCTCCATGTCATAAGTTGACAAGGATAATGCATTTTTTTCCCAACAAGATAATGCATGTGGATATACAAATATACATGTGTTCTTACATATGGTCAAACACTGCTGTGACGAGCATATCTTCATGTATTCCGGGGGTCAAAAAATAAAGATACCATGTAATTCTGTCATTGTTTGTTAATACAGGGAAGGCTCCATATTCTGGTGTTGTAACACATGGATTTGTATTGGATGAGAAGGGTTTAAAGATGAGCAAGTCTTTGGGTAATGTTGTGGATCCACGAATTGTTATTGAAGGAGGGAAAAATCAGAAGGTCAGTTGCATATTAAAAAAGATCAGCATTGGAACTGTATCTAGATACATGGCTTCTATTTATCAAAAAGCCATGGACTAATGGACTTTCTTTTTTCCCACTCAGGAAACACCTGCTTATGGGGCTGATGTCCTCCGACTCTGGGTTTCTAGTGTAGATTATACAGGTGACGTGATGATTGGCCCTCAGATTCTCCGTCAAATGTCTGAGATCTACAGGAAGTTGCGAGGAACTTTGAGATACCTTTTGGCAAATCTTCATGATTGGAAGGCATGTTCGATTTTTATCAGAGGCTTTTAATTCTCTCTTACTGGATAGAATTTTCTTCTCTTTTCCTTCTCCTGGAAACCCTATTAGTTAAACATCTAGCAGAGGACTTTAAGTTTAATCCATTTCACGGGATACATGATTTATTCTCTTTTCTTTGCCTAAAAAAGATAAACCCCCTGCCTATTGTCTCTAGGTTGGTTAAAATAACGTCTATTTTTCTATGCCTCTGCAGTTTTTCTTTCCACTTGTTCCTCATACTTTATCTTATTGACAGGCAGATTATGCTGTTCCATACCATGAACTTCCCAGGATTGATCAGCATGCGCTATTCCAGCTTGAAAATGTTGTAAATAACATTCAAGGGAATTATGAAAGTTACCAATTTTTCAAAATCTTTCAGGTTAGTTGTTGTAAATCTTGATCAGACATTCAATTTTAATGTTTCTTTTGATGCTGCTGGATTTTTGTTTAGACCCCCAGCTAACGAATGCCAATACATTTGTTTGGCTCTACTTTTAGTAAAAAAAAAAAAAGGTATTTTCAGGTCAAAACAGGGGAGACTTAATAAAGTCCATTGAACTAGTGATAGAGCTTAAAGTGTTGGCAACAAGAGAGAGCGAGAGAGAGAGAGAGAGAGAGAGCTTGAAGTAAGAGGGAAAGAGGAATTATAGCATCAATAGCTTTGGTTTCTTGCATCAAGTTTTATAGTTGGACATGAAAAATCTTTGTAAATCTTAAAATAAAGTTTTAGCTGAACTATTTTTAATACTACCTCCTGGTCCATTCATTAAAAAAAAAACAAATGAGAGTTAAAATAGTTAAAATTTAACTATAATTTGTTTCTTATAAATAGGTCTAGAGGGAGTAAAGTGTTGAATGTTAGATTTGTCAATAATTACAATGCAACCTTTTCATTTCAGATTTTACAGAGGTTTGTCATCGTTGACTTGTCAAATTTCTACTTTGATGTCGCTAAAGACCGACTTTATGTTGGGTAAGTTGCCATGCCTAATTTTCTTTTCTTGTTCTCGCTTACTGCATTCTGTACACCCTTTATATTGCGAAACTATCATGGCAGATAATATATCTTTAATGGGCAACTTGGCACTTATACTACGAATCTGCAACAGAAGATTCGGATGCAGATTTTTTTGCATGATTTTTTATGTTATTTATAATCCCAAAACAATATTTCTTGTTAATTTTGCAGTGGATCAACAAGTTATACAAGGAGAAGTTGTCAAACAGTTCTTGCAGCTCATCTGCTTTCCATAGCGAGAGTTGTAGCACCAATATTGCCCCATTTAGCTGAGGATGTATGGCAGAACCTTCCTTTTCAGTATGCAACTGAATATGGTTCTGTTGCGGAATACATATTTGAATCAAGATGGCCCACCTTGAATGAAAGATGGCTTGCACTCCCCGCTGAAGAAATTGATTTCTGGGAAAAGATTCTCGAGGTAATTTCTCACTAGCTGATGTCATCCAAATCCACATAATTCAGCTCGGTCGTGATAGAATTCTGATATGAATCATTTTAGCCAAAATTATTCACCCATAAACTTTCTGTAATTATTCGGTCTATAAAATGCGAAAACTCGTCAGGCAGAAAAATATTATTTTTCTTTTATTAATTTTATGTGACTGTTGTTCACCCACTTCTCCTTCAATTCCCTTCTATGTCATTTTTTTTCTAAATTTTCTTGATGTAATTTTTCATAAGTTATTGCTAACATAGATGTAATGTTAGTGTGGCTATTACTGAATGAAATCGCTTTTGGCCAGCTGAGGACAGAGGTGAACAGAGTTTTGGAGATTGCACGAACTGGCAAGTTAATTGGAGCCAGTTTAGATGCAAAGGTTCATATTTATACATCTGCTGCCAGCCTGGCATCCCAATTATCTGAACTATGTACCTCCAAAAACGATGCTGATGCACTGCATCGTCTATTCATAACATCTCAGGTATGTGCACATCCATGCCATCTGTTAATAGGGATTAGGGAGGGCTTATGCACAAGTAAGGAAGAAACGAAGGGGCAAAATTTATTTTAAGGACAGAAAGTGTAACACTTAGTCTCACCTCCATTTGGAATAATACCAGAGTCATGCTAGGATCCTAATGCAAAAGGAAATGTTATTTTCTAAACTTTTTCATATACCAAACATTGCCTAATATTTTTTTCTTTTTTCTTTGGACACATCACAACTATTTACCTAACCTACAAAACATTCCTAAATCCTTAATACCTTTTGGCTTTATAAGAGGATAATTTTATTCTTAACCTACAGGACTACTAACACTGTTAACACTCCCCTATAGCTGAAGCTGGCAAAGCCTGGGATCATTACTGGTAAAATCCGCTCCAAAAAAAAGAACAAGAATAATATTCAACTAAAGAACTTCTGAGTGACCAGGTTGCACCAGGAATATTTACTGCAATACTTTCCTCACCCTTCCCTTTACATAAACATGGATTGATCCTCTCTCTCTCTCTCTCTCTCTCTATATATATATATATATATATCTCTATCTCTGAACACATTACACGGTATGTTCATGCCTTCCAGACACTCGATCTATCATTGTGCATTTCTGCAATGCCATTGCATGGTATTAGAACTGGAGCTTCTGTTTCTGCAAATACCTATTTGACACCTTTGGTTAATACGATGTCCAAAACTCAACATTCCCCTCTAGTTATATGCAAAGGCCATCAAATGATGAAGAAAGGAAGGAGCCAAAGTTTTTCATGCACCGATTAGAAGCTTGAAAACCGTTTGTTAACTTGATATTTCGTACTGCAACAAGTTTTTTTTTTTTTTTATTGCTGTGAATAATACTTATATTTCTTACATGTTTGACATTTTGCAGGCTGAGATTCTTCCATCGTTGAAAGGTGAACTGATTGCAAATATCCCTCATAACGGTGAGTGCCTCATTCAAGGGAACACTAAAGTGTGGGTTGGTGTATCTCGTGCTGAAGGTTCCAAGTGTGAAAGGTGCTGGAATTACTCACTGCTTGTTGGCTCTTTCTCCGACCACCCAACCCTTTGCGGCCGCTGCCATAATGTGGTTGCTGATCAGTTGCCCCGTGAAGTAGTTGCAGTCAGCTGACATCACAAAACAAACAAACATTAATTTATTCCATTAATCATCTGTGACGCTGATATTCCTTTTTCCTAAACACATCAACTAGAGATTTTGTTTTAATGAAGTCTCAAGATATTTTTGTTCACAATATTATCATTGAAAATAATTTTTGTTCTCATAATAGAGACATTTAGAGCATGTTGTGTTCACATAATTGGTATTGGGAAGTGGAATAAAATGGATTGCAATGGGATACTGAATACTGATTATCTGTTTAGTATTTTTATTAAAGACCGGAAAGAAATTTTTTATATTTGATTCAAAAAAAAACATTTAGACTAAAATGCTCGTACAAAGAGGAAAACTTTCCACTTCATTGTACCCTTCCTCGAACAAGATTCAAAAGGGATTCACAAGTAGATTCAAGCAAATCAAATCCAGATCAGTCACGCATACATTCAAATTTAGATTTTCACCCAAAGGAAAAAAATAGATCCAACAATACTAAACCTAGATTAGACAACCCAAATTCATCACAGTAACTCAGGTTTGAAGTAGATTTGAACGTGAGGAGGGGACCGCAAAGCGCAATAGAGGAGGCAAGGCGATGAAATGGTCTCGATGGCAGTGACAACGAAAAAGAGGGCATTTTTGGAATGTAGCTTAAGGAATCATGAGTCATGAGGTCCAAGGAATGAAAGGCAGTAATTCCTATATTTCCAGGAATCTTAATTGCCAATGGAATGATGAAACTAATCTCAATACCGTCTTCATCCCTATCCTTTGAGACCTAGTAATGGAACTAAACAGCCCCCCTCCTTTTCCAGGTGGGCCGTCAAAAATTTTCTCACCTTGCCTCCCCTCGGCGAAGCCTTCTTGTCGTTGCAACCTTGTTAAAATCGGTTTATAAATGCCCTGGCTAAACTTCAGCTTTTGAATCAATATCGGCTTTCGACAAGTAACGTAAAGGAAATTCACGCTTTTGAATCTCGTCACGTGAAGGCAGGCAAGTAAAAATCATAGCACAACCTGTTTTAGCATTATTTGGAAATCATCTTTTTTTCTAATAAGCTGTTCAAGGATGTGAGCATAACGAGTAGTTTAAACAAAATTCACGTTTAAAACATTTAAAAAGAATTTAAAAAAGGGCAATCAAGATCAGCTAGCTTATCAAGTAAATCATACATGAGGTCCGTTTGAAAGGCATAAATATAAGAAAAATTTCAGATCGACTGACGATCTACACCACAACCCACCCAATAGATAGCAAACACAATGTTGATGAATTTACAAGGGAAGGGAACATCCAAATAATGATACAGAATCAACCTACTTGCAGCAGGCAGATTCATCTTACAAACAGAAACAAGTCGAGGTTAGCATTCATGATAACGTTAAATATTCTGCATCAATGAATTAACTTGAGCACATGAATTAGGTGACGGCTGCTGCATTATCTCAGGGTCATCTAAATCTTGTGATTGGATCGATATGTCCTGTACAAGGACATAAAAAGGGAACAAAAAAGTTGTATAATCATGTAGTTATCATATGTATAACCATGTAGTTTACTAACAAAAGGCAAAAAGCCAATTGAGCAGTTTTCAGGGGACTGAGGTCTGGTCCTTTCCTCTCACGTAAGGATATTGCACAACGTCATTTTGGTTCACCTTACCATTTATTTTCATTAAAAAAAAAAAAAAGCAGCAGCAGCAAATGGCATAGACACCTCACATCAGAAGATTACCAGTTGTCCTTCTGCCAAGATGTTACAGTGAAGTTCAACTAACCATAATGGAGAATCTATTTTCATCTTATGTGGCATCTTTTTACCCCGTTGATTTATTTCTAATTGAGAATAAATAGCAAAATACAACTAAGCTAACATCACATGATACTCATTAAAGTATAATGATCCGTCTCCTGGAAACTGGAATGCGCATCCGTACAAGAAAAATGCAAATATACCCTTTCAACTTAAGAGTCATATGTAAAACTTGCACTGAATCTTCTCCCTGGACCATCACTATTTAGGATTTAAACTTCCCACCCCATTTCCCCATAAACCTGTTGATGAAGATCTCATCTCAAACTTAATTAATTTGTTGTTTTCATATAATTGGTGAGTGCCATGGGCAAGTAAACAGAATCTGAGCCCATAAGGTGGCATTTCTGTCAATTGGAAAATAGACAGAGGAGTTCAAATCGTAACAACTGCCTGGGTGGTATGCAAATGCTCAAGGTTCAAATGGAGGCTTTGTATTTTCTTTATCTTTTTTAAATCAGAATTCGATCTATTTCACGACAGACTTGCCTTTCTCCCCAAAATAAAATTATTCAGATTTCAAGCATTCCTTAGAATCTTCAACTCAAAAGTGAACAATAAAGCAAGTAACTGAAGATGAATTCAATACCTGTGTGTGTAGAAGTGGTGGTTGTTGCTGGTCTTGGGCTAATGTATAAGCTTGCGGTTGGGACATTCTATAGTAGGGTTCTTTCAAATCAAGTTTGCATGATGAGGTTTGAAGAATCCCTCCTTGTTCAGCACCAGGGCCCCACATTTTAGCTAAAAGAAAATGAAAAATAATTGACCCATGGCTCTTTAGCAGAAAAATGCAAAGGCACAAGAGTAACAATAGGAATAAAAAGGGCAAACACTAACCTGACAATGTTAAATATATTGTATAACTCTGGGCATTGTGAGCAATCATATGCAGCCTGCCAGTAATTTCTTGTCCCGCCATGACATAAATTGGCTGAGAGAGAACACAGCGCAATTGGTACCAGTGGGTTGTTGGTGACCCTGGGGCAGTCGTGAGCCACCTTTGCACGGTACTGAGGATTTGGAACAAATGTTGGCAAAACAACAGACATCAATATAGATGAATAAAAATGGATGATAAAAATATCTAAAATGTAATCTTCACCTTCCATTAAACAGCACATCAAACCAGCAAGCCAACCCATGTACTCGTGCACCCACAGAGGCAATGAATTTTAAAGGTATATCTATTTCATAAAGCTCTTCTTCCTACAGAAAATCAGCTTGTAAGTTGTGATCCTCTGTTATTCAAAGGTAACTTCATTTCAAGTGTCAGCACAATTAAAAACAATAAAATTTTGACCATGAAAGTACTTCTTAAACCTGAAGTGGAATGATAGTTCAGTTGAAGGCTCTGTCAGAATGTTTCAAAAGCAGTTCCTTTTACTTCCAGTAAACCAAGAATAAGTTTGGCCAAAAAATACAATAACGAAGTAAAGAACAGCACAGACAGATCTTTTTTTTTTAGAATACCAGATATATGATATTTTTTACTATAAAATAGGTATATTATATAAACTATTATCTATTTCTACGAGGCATGCCTACCGAACATTCTTGGGACTGTAATTAGAGGAAATCCAAGACAGAAAATTGGAACGACATCCAAAAAAAAAAAAAAAGAAGTTAGCTCTTACCTTTATTTTTGTGAAGTCAGTCACATGGAACATAGGAGGAGCTATTAACAATCTTGGATCAAAAGCATCCACTACAGGCTGTATGGAAAAAATGGAGAAAAAACACAACAATTTTTGGTAAAAATGTCAAATTCTACTGCAACCAAAATAATAAAATATATCATCAGAATGGCACAAAAACACCCACAGGTTACACCTAGATTCTGAAGGAAATTAACAGTTACTAATCTTCAAATGTCATATAAGACACATTCTCTACAAGCTCATCAATCTTTCAATACTCCAAACAAGGCACTACTAAGAAACAGACACCATTTCACAATACTGAACACATCTCCAGGGCAAAATATGTGCTTGGGGATTTAAAAAAAGGCAAAAGATATCCAGACTGCTAAGATACTCAATAGGCATTGCAATGAGAAACTTTGCTTGGAGAAATAGAGGAAACGTGTCACCCATGCTTGTAAGTTCTAAACCCATTATGAACCCTTCAAGTGATGACATTTAAGTTGAACATGCAACGAAATTAGAAGAATTCAAAAATACAATAGGAAACAAGAATACCGTATCTCAGTAGAGTACAACAACTATCATAAATTCACCTTCTTCCCACAAGCCCTTTTCCCTCTCAGCAATGACAACCCGTGTACGGGACTTTAGATCCAAGAGGGTCAAAGGGAATGGGTTCACAAATTGATTTTCAGATGAGTATCTCCATAAAATTCATTAAACCAAACAATTAATTCAAAGGAAAACAAAATTGGCATCAGCATGTGCTGATTTGTCTGCCTTTATAAAATCACCAGACCATAAAAGGTCTATAAACAGGAAAGACCCTGCCTAAAATCAATATATAATCTGCACATACATACTTCAAAATGAAAATCTCCATTTATCTTGTAAAATAACCAGCCAATTAGAAACTACCGACAGATACAAAAGCACACAGAAAGCATACAACAGGAACAGATCTAGAGAAAACAACAAAAGTCCTATATTGCAGCTAGAGGGAAAAAGGAAGAATTCTAAAAATAGAAGTTGCATTAGAAAGGGATAAACAGCTCTTAATAGACCAATTGAAAGGCGCACAATGCATATAATCCTCTTTCATTTGCTATGTGACTAATAAATTTAATATTCCAACTTATTTGACAAACGTCATAAATGATGTAAACAAACAGATGTAATTCCCAATTTGACCCTTGACAGATCAATATCAAACGTCTACACCATCCTCACCACAATAAACGCGTGTGAACATATCATATTTTACCTTTTGGTAAGGAGGCAAACATCTAACAAAAAATTCAAAACCAGATACCGATATCTAGTCTACACTTGTAGGACAAATTTTGTATTTTAGTAAATTAGTAAAATCAAGCATGATACCTGAGAAAAGTATCCTTGAAATGCAGTGCCATACAAGGGTGTCAAATCAACACCATAATAGTTTTGTTGCTGCCAAAACAAGGCCTGAACACATAGAAGAATGACCAGCATTTAGATTTAGCTTTAAGAAATATATTCAAAGGAACCTAGAAAAAGTTTCCTTATTACTAATCCAGAAGAGAATGCTAGACCACAACACAATGTAGGCAAATAACTATGAAAGCAACAGCTGAGGACATGGATTCTACAACAACAACAAGCCTTATCCCACTAGCATTTATAAGTGGTCAAAAAAGGTGTTTATAATTGAATCTCACTAAAATACTATTAACCGGACACCTGAAGCAAAGGTCAATCATAGAATTATATGATCACATATTGTGTTCGTCTTCAGTGAAAATTAATTGAGCAGAAGCTTTTTACAAACTCAAGCCTCTTTCAAACAAATTTCTCCCAATTCAAAGTATCAAAAAAATTTTATTTTGAGGATTATTAAGAAGTATGATATAGTTAAAAAAATACAAACCATAGTGACAAACCTTATTAGCAATTTCGATAAACAGATATTCATCAGTGAAAGGTGCCATATGAATCCTACACAAACAATCAATTCATGGTCATGAGAATACAATATAAATATTATAAGGAAACACAAACCAAGGGGCAACTTGACTGCAAGCCTTTAAATCCAGCAATCAACTCAAGGTCTAGAGGAGAGATGTATCATTTGCAAAGAAGGTTTAATTAGCTTGATAGCCTTTATTTTGTCATATCTACAATTAGCATTCAGAACAAGCATCTAAACTTCGAAAATCATATTTGGCTGTTCATGTCCAAAACAGATCTATAGGCATATGTGTGTATTTGAAATCAGACTTTTTGTGGTTTGATATTAGGAATTGCCACTGAAGCTGTAATGAATGGTAGCATAAAATACTATAATGGAGACAAGCCATTTTAAAGAAAAAGACAATTATTTGACAATAACTATGATTAGTAGTTTCATATCCTCATGATAATATGATAGGGTTGCATACAAAAAAGCACTCACAGATGCAGAGAGGGCTGTCAACATTCAAATTTACCTTCCCACCGTGGGAAACATTTTCCCCTCAGGAGTGAGAAACCTATCTCTGGCAATGACATAAGACTCCAACATCCTTTCATTTACTAACAAGGTTCCTGCATAGCAGTACAGAAATATTACAAATTAGAAACAATTGTTGGGGAAACAAGTATCAATCTGTCAAGCAACAACTTATCTTTCCAATATAGAACACCTGAACAATCTTGAAGCATTTAAACATGCAAAATGACAAACATAAATACATGGACAAGATAGATACATAACTTATACATAGAATGGTAGCATCATTTTCCATATTAACTGAACAAGTAGAATATAAGCTTACCCATGGGCTCAGAGATCAAAATATCTGCTTTCTCTGGCAATTCTACATCTTCAACCTTGCCCTTGATCACCTGTAGTTTTTAAGCAGAAGTTGCCCTCAACAATGAGACAGAAAATGAACTAAGAACGTTACATAAAATCCTGGGGAAAGAAAAGCATACAGTAATTCGTTGACCAAGCATTGGGTTTCCAGCTATAAGTTTCCGTGCATATTCTGCCATTTCAGATGCCTCCACAGCATAAACATGTTTTGCACCAGCCTGAGAGAAAACATAAGAACATTAAAGATCTAATGCAAAGCTTTGGGTGTGGGAGGCAGGGAAGAAGCCTTAAATTTTCATTAAATCAAAAGCAACAGAACTTATCATACGGCAAACAAGATTCAACCAATTTAAGTATTGAATACCTGAGCAGCAAACAAGGACAAAATACCACTACCAGCACCAACATCAACTACTACACGGCCCATGAAATCAGCACGGTTCTCAATAACTGCAGCATAATAGGTTCCTGAAACAAGATCATGAGCAAATTAGTCTGATTAGGAAAATATCAGGTACTCTAGTGTCCCATTTAAAATCAAATTGTTACCTTTTAAAAAAATAAAATAATGAAATAAGTTGTTACATTCACTCAAATGTAAGTTAAAAGTTAAAACCAACAGGGCCACTGAAAACAAAATGGTATTACCTGTCCTAACGTAGTCCTGCAACATATTTTGCTGATGCAGAAGCTGCCCATAGTAATGGAAATACATTTTTGCAGAAGATGACTCTATCTTCTCATCAAATTTACTTTTAGAACTTGGTATGATTCCATTTGGTAAGTTTCTGCCTGAATTTAAGAATCAAATGAAGATCAGGATTTACTAGTAGATTAACAAGACTATGCAATCAAACATGAGAAAAAAAGCTTCCAACGCAGCACCTTGAGCATTGGCTTCCTTCTTCCATTGCTGGAATACGCCATCAAAGGCCCCACTTTCCTCCTCATTTCTAAACTGGATAGATATTTCCCTTGAGAATGATGTCTGGTTCAAAGACAGCATTCTTCAGATTCACAAAGGCTAGAGAATTAAGCATTACTTCTACAACTGATGCAACTGTGATATTGTAACATTATATCAATCAAATCTCAACAGAGCATAAGCATTTAGATTATGAATAAAGAAGCAAAAAATCATAGGACAGCATTTCATATTAAATGCAGCAAAAATATATCATCAAATTTCTCTAGAAGCTCAAATCATCGAATAGCAAAGAAAAATCCCAGCTCTTCCGAAGTTTCAACAAAATGAAACAATATTAAGTAATGCCGTAAAGCTACGATACCATATTTTCTATAATAAGATGATCCATTATACCTGGTTATCGACAACAGAACCTTCGACCATGCAAACTGATTGAGCAGGACCTAATTTGAATAGCTGCAAACCAGCAATGCACAATCATCAAGAGATTGGACGTTCATCATACATGTCTCATTCACTCTACACTTCATCACTGCTTGAGATAGATTAAATCGTTTTCGTGCATGCTTTCAGCATTGAAGGTGCAACCCAAATAAAAAAATGATCAGCTCATTTAAGCTTTAAGAAATTACCTGCTTTATTTCCCGCGTTCTTGCAGGTACTAATCGACAAAGCAGAAAATAAAATACAAGCACAAAATAAAAAACGAACCTGAGCAGTTCGAAGATCAACATCGATATCAATCTGGTGAGAATCTTGATGAATTAGCAGCTGACCGTCAGAAGTGAAGCGAGCAATACCTGGCGAAGCGGGCGAAGAGAGCTCAGCAACTGATGCCAAAGCAAACTCTCGGCTGTTTTGCTTTTGCGCAACGGAATCCTCCATTGCCGTCCTCACCGGCAAGCTCAATCCAGGCAGAAAAACGTTTCTCTCTTATTTCCCCCACTCCCCCCAAAAAAAAATATTAAAAAATAAATAAATATGTGTGTGAGACCTATATGAAATGGGTATTCTAAACAAAATAATAAAGTAAGATATATAACGAGGGAGTGGAAAAAGAAAGGAGTGAGCTAGGGTTTGAGCTTTGGAGGAAAGGGTCGTAGAGCGAAAATCCAGAGCCGCCAGAGAGAGCGAAAAATGTTGTGAGGTTGAGGTTTTATAGTGTGCGTGTTGCTTTCAAGGTTCAGTTGTAGGGGTAAGTGATGGCTCGTTAGTGTTAGTGAGAAGCATTTAATTTGATTTTTGGCAAAGGAAGGGATGAAATGAAACATCACGTAGCAGTGGCACAGGGCTCGTACCACACAGACACAATGCTGCTACACAAGATGTGCTCTCTCTCTCTCTCTCTCTCTCTCTCACGCGCGTTCTTATGGTGGTGGAATCTGGTGTTTCGCGGACTCTAGAGTTCGCCCACATGTTCGTTCCTGAATGACTGTCTCCCACAGAACGCCAACGTGATCCTCTGCCTCGTATTAAGCTCATGTCACTTATGCATGTAATTCCACCGTCACGGCAATTTTTTTATAAATTTTATTTGGAGAAATTAGAAAATCAACTTATAAAATTTAAGAAAATTAGTTAAGTTAGTTATTTATAAAAATATGTATATTGATTTTCTTTAAATACTCCATTTAACCATTTCAATTGAAACTTACCACGTTGATGAAAATCCTTTTTACTCACGGGTTTAATATTGTAAGGTATTTTATTGAATTATACTTATAATAAATTAATTAATTTTCTTTACAATTATATACTTTTCTATATTTATTCATATTTAATAAGATATATTAATTAAAAAAATCTTATTATTGTACCATAATTAAAGATGTTTTGAAAAAATTACTAATTGTGTCTTAAAAGACCTAAAATGTTTTAATATATTTTTAATATTTTGCCTAAAAAAAATGTTTTGCATTTTTAAATGAATGAAGTAAATAGTTTATGGAATCAATATAAATGGTTTGAAAAACCAATATAAATTTAAAAGAAAAGGTAGATTGAGATTTTAACCAAAGCAAACATCTTAGCTAGCCCTTGCATGGAAGATTGGAGGGAGTATATTGTATAGATGTAAATATTGATGGTTTGTATGTAATTTTGAAATTGGATTAAAGGACAAAAATGTCTCATTATTTTTATGAAAGATGTCTGACATCTTAAATTATTTTAAAATAATCTCATTTTACGACCTTTAAAAAAAATGCAATTTTGCCTTGCTATCAACGCTGAACGTTTAATTTGACTTAATTGCATTTGACAGCCTCTGTTAGAAAATTAAAAAAAAAAAAACATATCCCTAAATGTAAACCCAACCGTTCTCTTCGCAAGTGCCAATCTTCCAAATCACCTTCCCCTTTACTCGAATCTTTGACACTCCTTCGCATCACATTTCCATGCCTTGCCCTTCATTGCTCCTTCCTATCTGTCTTCATCGCCGATGATGGCGAGGTTGGTCTGCTTTACAGGCAAGCTTCCCTTCGCTCTTTAACTTCTAATTTAATTTCCTTCTAATTCTCTGTCGCAACTCAATTTTTACTTGAAATCTTGTCTACAAGCATTTTCCTTGAGGTAGGGGATTGTTTTATTGCAAGTCTGGAAAAGCCAATAGGATGATCAAGCACTCTCACCTCACTAATTCAACTCATTTTAAGTTGTCCCTGGCAATAATAGATTATGTGAAGTTTGAGAAAATTTGGGGACTGTGATTGTGAATTCAAAGCGACAATGAAATAACAATAATGGGGGGGGGGGAGAGAGAGGATTTTGAATTTTGAAAGGTTTGATCCAAAGCGAGCCTTATGCTACCCAAGTGAATTGGAAAAACAAGATCTCCAACCAAAACCACAATTTCGATATCAAGAAAATTCGAACAATTCCCCGTATGCTCCAAAATCAAATTGTTCGCTCTACCAAAGAGGAAAAGAAGGAAAAACAAGAAAATGGGAAGCCTAAAAAGAGAAGTAAAGAAATGGAAGCTTCCCAACTGAGTGAGTTATGAGAAATGAGAGCGATACTACTTCGTTTTTTGCGAGTATCTTCTTCTTCTAACCATGCATCCAACTCAAATCCTTCTCCAGTTTAGCCCAAACTCAATAGTTTTTTCCACCTAGAAGATTGATATGCTTTTTAGTGAGTGGCAAATTGATTGATCTCTTTTTTTTATTTTAAAAAAATGCCAAGGGCTACCAATTGGCAATTAAGTAAAACTAACGGTTAACACTGACATTGGGGTTACATTGTACTCTTTTTAAAAGTTCTAGAGTGAATTGCTAAAAAAATTATGACACCAAGCATACCTCTTACAAAAAAGTTTTGGGGTATTTCTATTCTTTAACCTTTTAAAAAAGTTCCTCAATTCATTGCGTACATTCATATTTTGAAGCATTTACCTTCCGGTCCATAAAAATCACATCAATGAGTTTACGTTTTTGCTAGTATACAGGCAAATATTGAAATAATAGAAACCGCATTGCTCAGAGTAAAAATGACATGCTCAAGCGAGGGTGGAATTTACTGTAGCAGTTAAGCATGGAATAGAAGGAAGCAGGTGAAGAGAAGTGTGCGTGCCTAAACATTTTAAATGACAACAAAAACGAGAAAGTAACGATGAGTGGTTGATATTGTTAGCATAAATTCAACACGAAAGAGATTAGAGAATAGAATAAACATGATTAAATTCATGTTAGAGAAGTAGAGAGATTATCAATTAATTAAAAATTAAAAGTAATACATCAATTAAGGACAAAATTTGTAATTAATATATTTATTAATTATGAACTCTTTTTAATGTATTTTCAAAATGCCTAATTCGATGGATTGAGAAGTTTGCTGCTTTTCTTCTCGAGGAGACAATAGAAGCCATTGCTCATGTCTCTATAGGGCAGGGTGATGACATGCTTAGATAGAGATGGACGAATAATGATGAGTTCTCAATAAAGTTTGCAAATAGTAAGCTATGCAACCATGCAAGGGATCGACATCAGGGTATTTGGAGAAGGGTGTGGAAGAGCATTGTATCACAAAAGGTACAGGACCTTTACGTGGTTACGTGTGAGGGGACAACTCTTAACTAATGCTCTACGTGCTGATAGAGGTTTACAATTGGGGGATGAATATTCATTATGCATAAAGAGTAGGGGGGATATTCTTCATGTCTTGAGGGATTGCTATCTAGCTTCTAGTTACTGGGAAAGACTTGTACTCGCTGAGTTATATTTGGCATTCATGTCTAGTAGAGATCATGTTGAATGGATTGAGTAGAATCTAACACAAAAGAAAGTTCTGCGAGGTATTCGATGACATGTATGGTTCATTTTTATGTGTAGACAGTTGTGGATTAACTGGAATATGAGAGTGTTTCAAAATAAAGCTGTGAGTGTGCATGCTACACTCGCCTAAGTTCATGCAATATTGGTGAGATGGTCGGATACACAATTGGGTCAGGATGTATTAGTGGTGAGCACCAGAGAGAGATGGGGACAATAAAATTAAACGTCATGGGTCATATGACGTTGATAGAGCAGTTGCGGGGTGTGGTGGAATTGCAAGGGATCATGCAGGTGATGCTTTGGCTAGTTTTATTTGTCATATAGAACAATGTAGCAGTTTGTGCATTAAGTTATGGGGGATACTCTAGGGTCTCAAGCAAGCTTAGGCGATGGGGTGGTGGAGGATAATAATAGAAACTGATTGTATGGAGCTGGTGGAAGTAGTGCGAAGTAGTGTTAGGCTATTTCATCTTGATCGAGGTATTATAGAAGAAGCCAGGAATTGCTGAATATAGATTGGAACATGAGTGTGGAATGGTGCAGATGTGAAGCTAACTCGGTAGCTGATATTCTAGTGAAGGAGGCACTGATGATAGTGGCCATTGAGTATTTTTGTAGCTCTATAGAATGTATTAGGGAGGCTTTATTATTTGATTTAAGGACTTAGTGTCCTGTTGTAGTTTCTTTGCATAAAAAAAAAAGCCTAATTCGAGCACCAACAATCTTGGGTTGTATGTTATTGTTGAAAGGTTCGGATGGTAATCAAGCTTAGACACATGGAGCCGAGTTAGTACACAAATTTAAGAGGACGATACTTAGTTTAAAGACTTTTAGGCATTAAAAAAAAGGCATTTATCATAACAACTTTTAAAATTTTGGCATCAATATTCATGATCATCAACCAATATAAAAATAGATCCACAGAATTTGAGAAGTATAAATAATAATAAGGCAAGCGGTGATAAATAATGTGAAAAATAATACTTTTAGCAAGCCCAACATTGTAATCTATATAGCTTGATTATTGAAAATATAGCTTGATTCACTCTCTTAATCTAGTTCTGTACTTCAATATTTCAATTTCCATGTGTGTGTAATCTCACAAAATCTATTTGATTAATTTTTTTAAGAAAAATTTATTACGTCCACATCTTGATATTTATGTTGTGCCTAATGCTTGTCCTGTTCCATTAGTCAAAACATAAAAACTTGCTCTTCTTCCAAACAAGGCGGTGAGTTTGTTTGCAATGAATGGAGCTTTATCTTCTCCTCCATTTTTTGTCTCATTTATCCATCTCTGAAATTAAAATTTGAGAAGATGCATAACCAAGCCAAAGAGTTCTATCAGTCTCATGGTGTTGGTGCTCTTGAAATTAGACCCAAATCAAAGCACTTGCTTGGTAGTTCAATTAAGATGAAAGTCTAACCCATTAGAATTGAGTGGAGTACTTCTTCGAGTTAGCCTAAAGTGGCATGTAGTAAGAGTAGCAACTAAGTTGGATGGATATATATATATATATATATATATATAAGGTCGTCATTAGCAAGCCACATTTAATATTTATTAGATAGTCCCATGTCTCTGCCTTGCTCCCCCTAAAATAAAGTGCAATTAATAATTTCATTTAAAAGCATAGCATTGCATCTAAATTAAAAACTCTAGTAAGACGAACACTCCAAAAAAAAAAAAAGTTCCATTTCATGATGGTGCGCACCAAACACGACCAAGCAAGATGACAGCTAAAATGAAATAAAGAATCCACAGGATATGGGAGATTGGTTTTGGTGCTGATCACTGTGATGAAATATGAACCATTCAGATTTTGATTCAGATGGTCCAGATTTAAAAAATTATTATATATTTTTATTTTATATTTTTTAAAATAAAAATTTATAACAATTATAAAATAATTTTAATAATTTTTTATTTTTAATCTAATCTATATTTAATTTAAAGGATCAAATTTAATATTAAAATTCTTATAATTGTTATATATTGACAATTT